CCGACGATTGCACAATGTTCAGTGCCATTCACAACTCCTCAGATACTGAAGCAGTCCATGGCCAAATGCAACAAGATCTGGATAATATCTAGACTTGGGCTAGGCGTGGTAGCTAATATTCGTGTCACACAAGCGCCAAGCAATGACAATCTTCAATAAGAGAGATTGAACCATCGTTCTTTGATATTCATTTATCATCGCTGAATCCCCCACCATCAAGACCCTGGCAATTATTGTTGATCAGAAACTGAACTGACTAGCCATATAAATACTGCACCATAGAAAACATTCCCTCTGGATGTATAACGGCTTGGTATGGCAACTGCTCTACCCAGGACCGTAAGAAACTACAGAAAGTTGTGTGCCCAGCCCAGACCATCTCTCAAGCCAACCACCCCTCCGCGAAAGGCAGCCAACATCATCAAAGACCCCCGCCCCCTGCAGTTATACTCTCTCTTCCAACCTCTTCTGCCAGTCAGAAGGCACAGAGCTTAAACACATGTGCCAGCAGGTTCAGGAACCGCTTCTTCCCTGCTGTTACTAGACTGCTGAATGGGCACCTCTAATTTCAAATCTAATGTTGATCTTGCTTTGTGCACCTCCTGTGCAACTGTAACCTTGTATGCCTCGCACTGTCTGAACACCCCTATGATCTGTATGACCTTATGTTATGATGTGCTTGTACAGTGCACACAATAAAACTTTTCACTGTACTTAGGTACATTTGACAACAATAAATCAAATCAAATCAGAGCAGGTCAGAGGCTAGGAATCCTGTAGTGTATAACTTCTCTCCTGACTCCCAGACTGTGTCCAACGTTGACAAAGCTCAAGTCAGGAGTGTGATGGAATACTCCCTATTTGTCGGGATGAATGCAGCTCCAACAATTGGCAAGAAGTTTGACAACATCCTGGACAAGGCAGTCCAGTTGATTTGGTACCACATCCACAAATTTTCAATTTCTTACACTTCTGGTCCAGAGTAACAGTGGCTTGTACTATCTACAAGATGCACTGTAGACATTCTTCAAAGCTCCTTAGACATTAACTCTCAAACCCACAACCACTACCATCTTGAAGTGCAAAGGCAGCAGATGCATGGAACTTCAACACCTGCAATTATTTCTCCAAGTCACTCGCCATCCTAAATTTGAACCGTTGTCGTTACTTCATTGTTGCTGGATGATTGTTCCTGGAACTCCCTCCTTAGCAGCATTGTGGCATTTTCTGTACCAAATGAACTGCAGCGGTTCAGGAAGTTTGAAAAAGGGTGTAATATTTCACATTTCTCTATTTTGTGGCTTCATTCCTATTGTCAGAGAAGATGCCAAATTTATAACCAGCTTATCCACTATATAACCTTACTTCCTTCAACTATCTCGGATGTGTCAGAGCACTTTAGATCATATCCGCTTTCTCAGTACCTTTTTTCTTTATCTTCATTTCATTCACAACCCTGACAACTTTCTTGTTTACCATAGCTTTGGCAAAGATTTTTTTATCCAAAACTGATGCAAAGTCCTCATTTAGTATCTTTAGTCATGATTTCTATCTCTTTTTGGTCCTTGGTCTCACTGTCCCTCTGACAACACCTTTGCTATTAAATTGCTCTTAGAAGTCTTTTGGATTCCATCCATGTTGGCTCCCAACAATTCTTGAATTGTCATGTTACCTCTCTTATTCCCTTTCGTGCTAGTGCCTTATACATCTAATATTCAGCCTGTTTCTTCCTTATATTAGCAAACTATGAAATTTATCAAATGCTGCTTTTTTTGGCTGCATTCTACTCTCATTCCATCATCCAGAGAGCTCTCATTTTGGTTGTCCTACCACCTCCGCTGGGAATGTTCCTAGACGTTACCCAATCAATCTCTTCATTAACAAGCTCCTTGTTGCTGTGTTGAATTTCTGCCTATGGGATATCATCCCCAGTTTACTCGGGCCAGATACACTCTCCGTTTTGTTGCAGACAGCAGACTCTTGGACGACCTTGGGTTTATTGGAAGGTAGAATGTGGATGTTGCATGTGTGCAGCTCAGCTGAGCATGCATCTCACCATCATGTAGGTTTGGTGCCACATCATGTTGAAGTGCAGGCATGTCCAGGGTGTCTCTGGCCTAGTAGGTTGGAGAGCAAAACCACTTGCTCATCTATTTCTGCTGAAGAAGAAGTCATTTAATCATGCACATTTGCAACTAGTTAGAGGTAATGTTGTCTCTGTAGAGATGCATATCATATCAATGAAGAGGATCTGCATATTAAGTCGTACACCTCTGAGATCCTAAGCTTTTATTTCCCACAGTCCATGTGAAATCATCACAATAGGTGCTGCTTGTGGCATTGCTCAACATTAACTCTTTCAGACCTACATACAACAGTGAAGCAAAAACAGAAATTGTTGGAAAAACTCAGCAACTCTGGCAGCATTTCTGTTTTTATTTCTGATTTCCAGCATCTTTAGTTCTTTGTTTTTTTTTTTGAAAGAACAGTAAAGGTTGGTCAGCTTTCTCAATTTAAGAGCAGTTCAGATCGCTCAGCTGCCGCTCCTAGTTCAGCATTCGGGAGCCTGGATTTATTTTGTTGTTCTCTGAAAGATCTGTACCGTGTATAATTTTTTGCGTCCATACCTGTGTGGATTTGTTAATGTTGTGTCGAAGAATTTGTCAGTTTTGATCTGTAGGTTCACTTGGATATGTTCAGTTTTCTGGTCAATGGAAAAGTGACGGACTGAATTCACCAATGACCTCGAAGAAAGCCGTCCTCAAAAATCTGCGCCACACAAGTGTGGGGCAATGACTATCTCCAACGAGAGAATTTAACCATGCTGGCATGACGTCATCAAGCTGTCCAATCTGCCAATCCCATCGCAGAATTTTCAGTCAGGCAAGCAGAAAATGAAAAGCTTGAATAATCAAATCACATTTTAAAAAGAAATTGCAGGATTGTGAATTAAAGTTTGCAGCATAGGCCTAATGTTAAGGTAGAGTCTGAAATCTCAAGGGAAAGAAAAACATTGAAACCTGACTTGTTAAATAATTAGAAAACAAACATCGAGCCAATAATAATGGAGACATTTACAAGCACATGTGAAAGATATATTTTTTAGGCTTGGATCAATTCATTCATTGCTCAGATTATTAAAATGCTAGGCATAACTTGAGTATCTGACAGCATTATAAGGGTAGAAAAGAGGAAGGTCTTGCTTGAACAATTGATTTTGTTGATTGCTAAGTCTGCTGACGAGGACTTCCAAGTTATAGTCAGCCTTGAAAGGTGGATGATGTGAACCCTGTTGATTTACCTTTAAAATTCCTGTGAATTTCTGGCTTTTTTTTTTGTTTTATGGTAAAGCTACATGGTACGTTGTTCAGCTTATTTGACCTTGTTTTTAACATGATTTTAATTGGAAATAAAAGCTGGAATCTGCCCTTGAGGCAGAAGCACTTTAGTAATTGCTGTTGAAAAAGCAGTTAATCCTTGGAATCAATATGGCAATTAAATGATGCTAATTCTGTGTTCTTGGAATAGAAAGAGGTCAATATTTTACATGCACAGAATGTAGATAGTCAGTCATTTGTGTTAGATGTTGGCCATTGTGATAACATGGGCTGATCTTGTGTTTGGGAAGCTTGAGTCTAGCCATTCATATCCCTGACTTTGGAAAGTCAGGCAATTGATGTGAATTTTAACGTATGTTGAGTACAGATTCGTGTCAGGGCTACCGTTGCCAGAGGCAGATGAATGCAGCAACAGAGAGAAGAGCAGGTTAAAAAGCATCTCCATTGACATTGGCCCAGTTCCAATCATGGTTCGATCCTCACCTTCATGTCCCCACTTATCAATATTGTCACTTCCTTACCTTCCCATGCTGACTCAGGTCTTCCTCTCCTCTCTTGGTGCCTCTCGCACAACACCTCATTTCTGGTGCTCCCCCCGGACCCTGCATGACTATTCACCCAGTAATGCTAATTATAGAATTCAAGAGCCTGACACTGACATATCTTGAAAATGTTCATACTATTCACTTCTACTCAAAATTCTCTTTTAAGAAAGCTCACATGATAGTGCCTGAATTTGCTGATAATCATACTGCAATTGAAAAATGATTTTTTTAAAAAAAATTCCTGTGGATGAGAAGATTGAAGAGATAAATACCTGGCTGAGCTCCAGCACTCACTAATGGATGCAACTGCTTGAGTCATGTGTAAGCTGTGAAGAGAACTACTCATTTTGTTTGACAGTTTTATGAGCTTGTAATAGGTTTAACTTCAATACCTATTTGTTTATCTGGACATAGTTGTGAGATATCAAATGAATTAAACTATTTCTTTAAGGGCATTTTGCAAGTCGGTGAGAGGGAAACCTAGATAATCGTGCAAAGTGGGAAAAGGTTTCCACACCCCAGGAATGTGGCAGTGTGAGGGACAGGCGGTGTGGACCACTCTGCCTGCCGAGTACCAGGAGGGATCACTATCCAAGTTACCAGCTGTATCTTCTTCCCTCCTTTCACCAGCACTTACTGCCTGAGGAAATGCGAATGATGGCTAAGAAGTAGTTGTTTAAACTCAATGTCTAGGTAGACAATTTATGGAAAAGTGAGTGCTAGGTTTGCAAAAAGATTTACTGGAACAGTGGAGGAACCCGAGATCTGTGTAGATAAAATGGGTTGGTGTATGTGATGTATACTTATCGGAAAGGAATAGTTGTTAACTGCAGATAGTATTAATGGTTATTTCCCCCTCTCCTCCCTGTCCTTTCTTTTAGCTTTTTGAAGATAAATCCTGTAGAAGACCAAATCCTGCTTTTGTTTTCTTTTTGAGGTTTTGCACTTGTGACATTATAGTTAACAGTTGGTATAGTTTGTTCCAATTTACATAACTGAATAGAAACCATAGGTTTCTTCTCCACATGTAAACTTGACCTTTGATTTTGCGTTACTGGGAATTATTCTTCATGTTCAATATGCCAACTTAAATATGTTTCTATTCTTTTTAATTCAGATCACCAGAAGTTGGAAAGAGAGGCTCGGATTTGCCGACTTTTAAAGCACCCAAATATTGGTAAGTGTGTTTGTCTTTCTAAAGTCTCAGTTACAGTGAAAAAGCAGCATTGCTTCTGTTCTAAAGTAAATTTATTTCCACAAATTTCAGCGCAGATTATGTCTTGATGTTGATGGCTCCAAAATTCCTGTAGACCATCAGTTAAGGTGTGCAGAGTTCCTGATCCAAACAGAAACCTTAAAATGTAATGAAACATAGAAGATAGGAGAAGAAGGAGGCCATTCAGCCCATCAAGCCTGCTCTGCCATTCATCGCGATCATGGCTGATCATCCAACTTAATAGCCAAATCCAGTTTTCTCCCTGTAACCTTTGATCCCATTCACCCCAAGTGCTATATCTAGTCACCTTGAACACATTCAATATTTTGGCATCAACTGCTTTGTGGTAATGAATTCCACAGGCTCACTGCTGTTTGGGTGAAGAAATGTCTCCTCATCTCCGTCCTAAATCGTCTACCCCGAATCCTCATACTGTGCCCCCTGGATATACCCACCATTGGGAACATCCTTCCTGCATCTACCCTGGCCCAATTTTACAAACCTCTGAGATACACCACACCCTCCCCAACCACCGTCACCACCACCACCACCACATTCATCTGAACTCTAGCGAAAACAATCCCAACCTAGTCAATCTCTTGGAATCAGCCTGGTAAGCCTTCGCTGCACTCATGAGAACAAGAGCATCCTTCCTCAGAAAAGGAGACCAAAACTGCGCACAATATTCCAGGTGTGGTCTCACTAAGGCCCTGTATAACTACAACAATACATTCCTGCTCCTGTACTCGAAACCTACTGGGATATCAAATCTATAGGGTGCATGAATTCTAATTGAAAATCCTTGAGTAGATTTTGGTAGTTTCCAGTAATAGTGTTATGTTGAAACTGTTATTGGAACTATGGAACTATGATATATTAATAACTGCTTCCCACCCCTATTCGGGGGGGAAAAAAAAACTAGTTTTATTTAGATGGTGTCTGGGGATTCTCTTTCTGAAAAGAGATTAGAAGTTGATAATTTATAAATCTCAGTGCATCCCAGGAGGTAGCGTGGAACCATTTTAAATGTTGAGAAATGTTAGTCTGACAGAGCCAGTGCTTATTGCTGTAATTACTGTAATCAGCAGTGTTCTTTCAAAGAAATAGTAACATTTCTGTTTATATCTTTCAGTTATGGCTAATAAGACAGTTTCATATGTTAGTACAACAAATACTATTTATCTGTACTTCTGGTCATGTATACATTGCAACTATATTTGGCCTGTACGTTTTTGTGTGCTGTGTATTATGTTCCAAGCCTGTGTTTTCTATTTTGGATGCATGTTTTTGAAAAGTCTACAATGTGACCTTTCCTGGAGGAGTGGAGAAATGATGTTTAATTTTAGCCCCTATTTAGATCATTTTTAAGTGGATTATATTTATCACATTTATTCTACCTCCTCACAAAGCATGACCCTTGGGATAAGCCCTCTGCTATCTTTTCGGATTGACAAAGTGTCTTTAGAGTTGCAAAGTGTCCAAATTGTTTCAGCTGATATCTAAGGTTAATCTAAATTAATAGCTCTGTAGCTGACAAGCAAGGAGATAGCTCCCAGAAGAGGCAGGAAGGCTAAATCTCAACTGATTTCTCCTTCTCGCCCAGGGAAAATTTGCAACTTCTGTTTGGTGAAACAAACACCTAGACCTTTTTGGAGTGGGATCTGGAATCCCTGCTCTCCGTTCGGTGGTGTTGATTACTGATTTTTATATCAAAACTGTTCTGACATTTAGTTAGGCCCAATTAGTACAAACAAAAGGTTGCTTCAATCAGAGTTCTCTTGGGTACACTACAACATTTTTTAATTGATTTTTTTTTAAAAAATTAGGTATTGTTGGCACAAATAATCTTCCAGTTTAGGTAGAGAGGGATTTAATTCATGATATTACTACTCTAATTCCATCTCTGGACACTGTGTGTACTTTGGATTCCTTTGAATGCTGAAATTGTCCCTTTTATGTTGTGGTCAAGGATAAGATTTAACAATTGATTATGGAATTTGAAAGTTGTGAAAAGGAAAGCTATGTTGTCAAAGCTTTCTGTCTTGCAGTCATCAGGACAAACACACGAATGCAAAATTTTGAGCGGTCTCAACTCTTGATAATTGGTAGAAACAAATGCTAATTGATCGGCAAGTTGAAACTGATTGGCCAAGGTGTTTAACTGAAGAAAGGAAGCCTCCAAATTTCTAATATATTGAATTCTTCCCCTGCCTGCACCATGTTCAGTATTCGCGACTCCTCAGATACTGAAGCATTCTATGCCCAAATCCAAAGTCCAGATTTAGACTGACAAATAGCAAAGTAACATTTGTGCCATACAAGGGCCAGGCAAGGACCATCTCCAACAAGAAAGAATCCAACTGTCGCCCCTTGACATTGAATGGTAAAGCCATCAATGAATCGCCTACCTTTAACCTGCTGGTGGTTACCGTTGACCAGAAACTGAACTGAATTAGCCATTTAATTAATTTGGCCACAATGGCAGGTCGGTAGCTAGAAATCGTGTAGTGAATAACTCACTTTCTGACTCCACAAAGCACAAGTCAGTCGGGTGATTGATTAAATTTCCTCACCTGCTTTGAACTTGCAGTTCCAACAAGACACAAGGTTGACACCATCCAAGTCAAAGCAGTTTGTTTGATTAGCACCACAAATATCCACTCCACCCACTACCGATGTTCAGCGGCAGCAGCGCGTACCGTCTTGCAAATGCACCGTGGTAATTCACCAGAACTTCTCAGAGAACACCTTCCAAACCCATGACCAATGCCATTTAAAAGGACAATGGAGGCAGGTATATGGGAACACTACAATCTGCAAGTTCTCCTTTAAGCCACATTCTGACATGGAAATACTTTACCGTTTGTTCAGTGTTGTTGGGTCACGATCCTGAAACTCCTTCCCGAATGACATTGTGGGTATAATCTACAACATATGGACTTCAATGGTTCAAGAAGGTAGCTCACCTCCACGTTCTCCAGGGTAAGTGGGATGGGCAATAAATGCTGACCCAGCCAGCAGCGCCCACAACCCACAAGAGAATTTTTAAAAAAGAAATTATTAATACACACTCGGAGTTGTTCACTGGTGCCCAGTTGCAGAATTACTTCAAATGGGAGTTTTTTTTTAGTTCGGCAGATGTGTATTAGTTGCGTGTGGTCTCTTCCGATTGCAAACATCCAAAGGAATAAACTGTTTAATTTGATTAGCCAGTTGCTAGGATGTCAGACCTAAGTATCTGGCACCACACTGGCACTGAAATTCCAACACAACATTATCCAGTTGTGTGATAGGCAGAATGTCTTTCCTGATTGGCGGCCGCATGTATTTGATGGAATGTACAACTCACGTTACTGTGGCATTGTGGCAACATGAAAATGCTTACATAAGTTTATTTACAGAGACATCTTACAATGTCGCTGGATGTGTGTTCTATCCCCTCCAACCAATGCTTTCAGGTTTACCAATGCTTTTCAGTCCAAACAAATCTTACATCCATTCTTAATTTTATCCCAGAATTGATGATAAATTAATGGATGTCTACCAGATTACAGAATTGTCCCAAGTGCACAAAGCACTTAAAACTGTCTAATCTTTTTACGACTAATGACCAGGTCTTCTTGTCCATTTGATTCCACCTTGCTGTAATTCTGAGCCATAAAACAGAAGTGTGTAGATAAAGAAATATGTAGAATCTCATACCTTTTGTCCTAATTCCATATACTTCATCACTTCAGTGAAACTGTTCCTGTTATTCCGTCCAGCCTTCACTTCTCTAACTTTCACTGATAGAAATCCAGGAGCATCTGTATTTGCACCTCCTGTCCCTGCACAGACTGTTACCTGGCACACAATTTGAGAGGTCTGAGAGAAAGTGTTGTGAACCTCATTCCCATAGCGGTGCGACTGTAGGACAAGATCTAAGCAGCTAAGTGAAAGAAGCTGGGACATTGCCAGTTCAAACAGAAGTGATTTGGGGGGAGATTAGGGTGGTGGCAACCTGTGATATATTTTTTAAGGGGGTGTGGGAGAGGAGGGAGTAGTGTCATCATTTAGTAGCTAGGCATTGGGGAGAGGAGGAGGGAGAACAGGGAAGGATCTTTGTATTTGGGAGATGGATCCATGGAGGTAGGCAATTGAGAAGTCAGATCTCTGCTGGAAGGCTGAGAACAGCAGAGAGACATGTTTTACAGGTGCATTATTTTGAGTGTTGAGAACAGTCTTTAGGGTTCAGTCAGTCTCTCATGACCTCTCCTATTTCTCATCAACATGCTACCTAAAAAATATCATCCGACAGCAATCAGTTTTTAAAAGTACACCCAGCTGTACCTCACTATCGGCTCTCTTGGGCATTGTATTGTCTCTAGATTTATCAGGCTGCTCATCAGATATTCAGATTTTGACAGGCAGAAATGTCTTTCTGCTAAATATTAGCCCAATTGAAGGTGTTGTTCCATAGCCACAATCTGCATCCTCATTGGCACTGGATGAGGCTAAACTGAACAGTCCACACTTAGTTAACAAGATGTAGAGCTGGATGAACACAGCAAGCCAAGCAGCATCAGAGGAGCAGGAAGGCTGACGTTTCGGGCCGAGACCCTTCTTCAGAAACCTTTTCTGAATGTCAGCCTTCCTGCTCCTCTGATGCTGCTTGGCCTGCTGTGTTCATGCAGCTCTACACCTTGTTATCTCAGATTCTCCAGCATCTGCAGTTCCTACTATTTCAGTCCACACCTAGTGTCATGTTTGACCCCAAGATGAACTACTGACCATGTATCTACACTAAGACTCACCTCAAACTGCACTTTACCTCAAAGACAAAATACTTGAGATGCTGGATACCCAAAATAAAAATGTAAGGTTTTGGACAAATTCTGTAGGTCAGGCGGCATATGTAGTGAGAGAAGCAGATTTAACGCCATGGCCTGAATTCTGCTACTTTGGTTTGAAATACTTTTGCA